TCACCCCAGTAAGAATAGCAAAATTTAACATAACAGCAAGCAACAAATCCTGGCGAGGTTGTGGAGAAACTGGAACTCTTATTCACTGTTGGTGGGAGTGTAAAACGGTGCAACCACTGTGGAAAGAGGTGTGGCGCTTTCTCAAAAAGTTGCAAATAGAGATACTGCTTGACCCAGCAATCCCGTTACTGGGACTATACCCCAGAGAGACCATAACTGACATCCAAGCAGATATATGCACACCCGTGTTTATTGCAGCTTTGTTCACAATAACAAAGAGTTGGAAGCAACCTAAGTGCCCATCAACAAACGAATGGATAGAGAATACTACGCTGCATTGAAAAACAAGGAACTCATGCAATATTATTCAAAATGGGTGACCCTGGAGGACATTATGCTGAGTGAAATATCTCAGTCACAAATGGATAAATACTGCATGGTGCCACTGTTGTAGAATGGGACTGACATGAGGGTTAGGGTAAGACTAAGAAAAAACTGGATAAATTATGTATACTGTATTGAAACAGATGAGGGAAATAACAAATTAGAGGTGATATATTATTATTATGGTTAGCACAGGAGTCCAGAATTAAGGTTGCATAGAGAAGTGTACTCTGTGCGGGATGGGGGGGGGAATGGGGATGGGGAAATTGTCTACCAACGAAGGAATTTTTTCTCTTTTTCTTTTCAAAGAGAGGAGCGAACTGGAGGGGAGGGGTGGACAGGGAGAAAAGTGCAGCAATGAATTCATGGAAATCCAAAATCTCTGTAAATGTTTATTAAAATTAATAAAAATGGGGGGGAGGGAAATACCATGGCTTGGGTCAGGCACACCTCAGTCTTTAGATTGACAGTAGTTTAGCACTTTGAAGAGGTCCTTCGCAGTAGATTTTCCCAATGCAGGAAGCAAAAGATGTATTGCATTGGAAAATTAGGAAGCAAAAGGACCCTGAAACTTGAGGGGCGTACATAGGAACAGTCAAGAAACCAGGGATATTGAGCCCCTAAATCCTCTTGAATCTGCCCTATCACCAAAAACAATGCACTTCTTTTTCCCCTATGAGGATTGTTGCTATTGTTGTGCGCTGCCTATTTGGAACTGACTTATAGCTAATCCTCCAGTGGGTTTTCATAGGCAGGAAATCACACAGGAGGAGATTGTCCGTCTTTCTCCTGTGGAGCAGCTGGTGGATTTGAACTGTGCGCCATTTGGTTGGAAGCAAGACTGCTTACCATTGGGCACCAGAGCGCCCTCTTTGAAGATTGCTCCATGTTTTTTCTCCTAAACGACTCTTCCTAGTAAAATTATTGCCCCTCCCAATGCCATGTGACAAGATGAACCCAGCTGTGTCTGAAGAATCTTTGTCTGAGACACCACCTAGCGCAGCATCTGGGGCATTTTCTGAAACAGGAATTGCTGAGTGTCACCAGGACCCATCTCCACAACCCATTTCTGCTTCTTGGCTTATAACTACACTTAAGTCCTAATGAAACTCAAGAGGCAAAGTACACAGTGCTAACCTGGAGGAGGTATGCCACCTTCCAAATGAACAGTTTGATTTTTCTAATATATACAAACAGAAATCTGGGGAATATTTGTGGGAATTTCTAGTAAGGGTGTAGGGTAATGGCGCAAGGAGCAGAAAGTTGAATATGTCTGATTTTATTAATATTATCCCACTAAGTGTAGTGTCTTTAGTGTTTCCGTTCAAGTGGTTCAAAGAAGATCTGAGAGTTTATTTAGTTGATTCACTGACGTACGGAATAAGCTGTGGCCTGCACTAAATCAAATGGAAATTCCAGAAATGCTTTGTGTACAGCAGAAAGTGTCCAAAGGCTTAGGGAAACGTGCTATTTAGAGTGGCTTGATCAGGTTGGACCCGTAGCTCTTCCTTGGCATATCCAGGGAACACACCTTTCCCTACAGCGTTGAGGAACAAACCTGTGAAGGAAGCCCCAGCATCCTTGAAGATTGCTGTTCTGGCTGTTTTCTAGGAGTCAGATTTGACAGTGGGAATGCAACCATGTCAGTCTAGAAACTATGGTGCATCTAATCCAGGCCATGGCCTTCGCAATTACTTGTTAAGCATCAGAGAGCTGGACAATGACTAAGGATGACAGACGAAGAGTCGATGCCTTGGAATTGTGGTGCTAGAGAAGAATCTTGAACAAATCACGGATTGCCAAGAAAATAGGTCTGCCTTGGAGAGGGTGAAACAAAGTCTCTCCTTGGAGGCTAGGATTTTGAGGTTCCCTCTCACATACTTTGGGTACATGGGCAGGAGTGACCTCGAGAAGGACGTCATGCTCGGAAGAGTGGAGGGACGGGCAGAAGAGGAAGCCCCCAGATGAGATGGATTGATACACTAACTGGGGCAATGGGGGTTGGTGTATGGGAATTAGTGAGACTGGCTCAGGATAGTCAGGCTCTGGCAGGGTTCTGAGCTGCTACACAAAAGGTCACTATAGGTCGCAGGTGATTCAATGGTACACAAAAACAACAACAACAACACAACAACTATAAAGTTACTGACTGGAGTCCACACTAGAGGCTAAGTGGTGGCACATAGTTGCCAAAGACAAGATCGTCTCATGGTCATGGAATTCACTAGCCTTACCCTGCTGTCCATTACCCTTGAAGTGGCTGGTTTGATAAAACAATGGAATGGCCTTCTACAGACGGAAATACAAGACCTAGATGGCAAAGCTTATAAGATCGGGACAATGTTCTCAGGAGGCTATATATACTTGAAACCAGCATCTGATATACGCTGTTACTTCTTCCACAGCCATATTTTTATGTGTGGCATCAGGATTGGAGAGAGACTTATCAATAACCTGTGTTATGCAGATGACACAACCTTGCTTGCTGAAAGTGAGGAGGACTTGAAGCACTTGTTGCAGAGATCAAGAAATGCAGCCTTCAGTATGAATTGCATCTCAATGTCAAGAAAACAAATATTCTTACCACTGGACTGATAGGATCACCATGAGAGGAGACGGAAACTGTCAATAGCTTCATCTTGCTTGGATCTACAATTAATACACTTGGTACCAGCAGTCAGGAAATAAGTAGCTACATTACATTGGGAAAAACTGCAATCAGGGACCTCTCCAAATTATTGAGGAGTAATTATGTCAGTAATTACTAAGGGCTAATGTACATCTGATTCAGGCCAGTCTTTCCAATTACTTGCTATGCATTTGAGAGCTGGACAATGAACAAGGATGACAGAAGAAGACTTGATGCCTTTGAGCTGTCATGTTGGAGAAGAACTCTGAACATCCCATGGATGGCCAAGAGAACAAACATATGCTTTGGAGAGGGTGCAACTGGAGAGCTCTTCGGAGGGAAGTATGAGGGCTTCAACTCACATACTTTGGGCAAGTTGCTAGGAGGTGCTATTCCTTGGAGAAGGACATGCTGGTGGGAAGGGTGGAGGGCTGACAAAGTAAAGACCTTCAACCAGGTTAATTGACAAAATGAGTGCTGCAATGGGCTCTTGGGTGTCAGGAAGTGTGAGAATGGCACAAGGATAGAACAGGGTTCAGATCTTTTGTTCATGGGATCCCTGGGAGTCTTACTTGACGTGATGGCAACTAACAACAGCAACAATCCTTTGTAACTCATTCATAATTTTTTTTTCTTCCTGCCCCTGCAGCCATATGTTCTGTAGATCTAGAAGTCTTAGTTCCAAAGAGAGGAATGCTCCCACCAAGAACACAACATTGCGCCCTGATCACCATGGACTCTGGATCATCAGACAGGGGAGTTATCCAACTGGCAGGTGTTGATATTTGATGCACCTATAACAGGGACTGGGCCAATTGGCAGCATCAGTATGGATGGTGAAGAGATTGAGATAGTTAACAGTTTTAATTTACTTGGCTCCACAGTCAACGCTCTTGGTAACAGCAGCCAGGAAATCAGGAGACAAACTGCATTGGGAAAGTCGGCTGTGAGGGACCTCTCAAAGAGTACTGAAGAGTAACGACGTCAGACTGGAGACTAAGGTGCGCCTGATCCGGGCTATAGTCTTCGCAATTACGTGCTATGCATCAGAGAGTTGGACAGTGAATAGGGTTGATAGAAAGAGAATTGATGCCTTTGAGCTGTGGTGCTGGAGAAGAGTGTTGAATATACCATTGGTGCTGGAGAAGAGTGTTGAATATACCATGGACTGCTAGAAGAACAAACAGGTTTGTCCTGGAGAGGGTGAAGCCAGAATGTTCCCTGGAATCAAGGATTCTGAAGCTTCGTCTGACATATTTTGGGCATGTTGCAAGGAGGGACTGGTCCTTGGAGAGGGACATCATGTTTGGCAGAGTGGAGGGGCGGCGAAGGAGAGGAAGACCCTCGATGAGATGGATCGATTCTGTGACTGGAGCGATGGGAGTAAGTGCATTTGAGATGGCTAGGTTGGCACAGCATAGAACAGCATTTAGAGATCTTTTACATAGGGTCGCTATGAGTCGCAAGCGACTCGATGGCACATAACAACAAACAACAACATAACAGGGACAGTGCAAGTGGATGGCTTTAACAAGCAGAAATGCATTCTCTTACAGCTCTGTCTCTTTCTGCAAGAAAGTCCTTGCTTCCTTCAGCATCTGGAATCTCGGTTTTCCCTGGAGGCTCCCCTATGTCTGCCCTGTTTCCTCGGTGCAGAACGAGAGCCAGGTCCGCTAAACTGGAATGCAAGGTCCGGAGGCCTTTGTGGGACACAGGAGGATAGTTTTTTTGAAAGCTACGATCTCCCAGCAGCCCCTCGCCGCGAACCTGTTCGGATTACCTGGCCAAGGGAA